TTTCTTTTGGTTTTTTCTTCGTTTTGTTACTCAATTTGTCGACCTCTCTAATCAGCCAATTTTCCATTTTTTTTTTTAATATAAAAATTGCAGAAACCAAAAAATTGTATTTTTGGTGCTGAAACACTGTCATCCCCACGAGAAGCGGGGAGAGTGACGGGAAGATAGCGATCAAAAAATTTTTCTGCACCGACAATTTAAATAATATAGGATTTTCGAGGACAAAAGTGGTTTCTACACTATTAATTCAGTTGCGTTTCAGCTAACTATGAACCTTGCTTTATTTTATTTACCTCCTTTTCTTTAACAGTATTTCTTTACAACATCTTTCTTTTTTTTCTAATATATCAGTTCTGACAATAGAACGACATTAAGTGTGGCAAATTTTGTCTTTTCACTCCTTTTTTAGCAAAATATAGAATGTAAAAAAAAAACAATAGAACATTATTCAATAATATTTTTTTACGGTTTTTTATTTTTATTTTCATTTTTTGCAAACGAAAATTCGTTTCTTTTTTGTTTGTCTTTTTTTGTGTAAAAATTTATTGTACTTTTTGCAGCGCCTTCGATAATTGTCTCAGACACTTTATCGCACTTTATCCGTTGCAAACACATTTCTATGATGCAGCAATTGTTCTTGGTAAGTTTTTTTAGAAATTAACAAGTTTTAACAATTTTTGTAACTTTCAATGTTACTGCTTTGCTGTGTTTCGACACATAAGACTGATGCTTACATTTGACGACGCTGTTATTCCACAGCAAAACATTATAAATGTTTGGAACAAAAGTTGTGAATTTTAGAAAAAAAAGTATTTGTACAACTGTGATTGATAACTACCAAATTCTAAATTTCACTTCTTCTTTTCTTTTTTTTCTGTAAATTTTAAAACTTTTTATTAATGTGCTTCATAGGAAGAGGAATATTTTTTCAATATTAACCTTTGTTAATGGTTGGAATGTTACAACAAATTTTCATAATTTCCAAAAACAAACACAGTTTCAGTTTTTTTTCTTTTTTGTCTGAATACTCAAATTGATTTAACTATGCTTATACTTTTATTTCTTATGTTGTATCTTTTTTTAAACTTTAAATCTGTAATTTGCTCTAAATTATCTTCATCTCTACTTTTGCAGCTTTGTCTCTGGTTGGTGACTATCGAAGCATTGCTATATGAAGATGAAAAATGTGGACCGAATTCCCACTTTGTCAGATGCGGATCTTTGTGTCAAAAAAAATGCAACGAGCCAGAGTTGCAAAATTGTCCCAGAATCTGCTTCCGAGGATGCATCTGTGATCAGGGTTATATCCTAGATGATCAAGAAAAATGTATTAAACCCGAGGAGTGTCCAGGTATTTTCCAAGTTTATTGTTTTTTTTCTTAAGTTTCCGTTATCGTTTTACTGTTGGCAATCTTTTTAATTCATCGACTTTTTTTTTGTATTATGTTAACTGGTAATTTTTTGCCAAGTTTTTTTGCAAATTAAAAAAATAAAGATTTGAACAGTTTTGCTGATGCAAAGCTGGAATTAATGCTCAAGTTTAAATGATTAATAATAGACCTTCTTTCATACAGATAAAATCAACTAAATTTTTTCCACAGTGGTTTGCTCGTTCAGTTGTTAAGAGTAAACTGACAAGAATTTTTGATGTCTGTTTCTTTCTTCCTCAAATTTAGCACTTTTTATCATCACTTTTTTTCAGCTCCCCGATTAGCCCGAGCAGCACAGGGCAAAAAGTGCAACCGTAATGAACATTATACGACTTGCGGTACAGCATGTGAACCAACTTGCGGCAAACCATTACCAGACTTATGCACGATGGAGTGCGTTCCAGATGTCTGCCAGTGCAATCCCGGATTTTTCCGTCATGCAACCAAAGGTTGCGTACGTCAATCTGAATGTTGATTTACCAAATCCACTACTGCATTAGCAGACTGGTTACTGGGATTTGGCAACATTGGTGTAAGAATTAACAATAGCTGAAGCTTTTGATGCCACTCAAAACAGTTTTTTCTGAGCTAATTGGACCACTGCAATACTGCTTTAAGATACACCAGTCTACTTTAGCTTCATAATTGATAATATTAAATAAAATGATGGTGGGTTGATCTGGTTTATGTCTACATTAACATTTTTTGAGTTTTGACCTACTCAAAATGTTTTGATAGCATACTTGTTTGTTAACCCAATCTCCTTTTTATATATACATATTCGCAGATAATGTCAGAACCAAATTTCATTGTTTTTTACTATCACTTAAAAATACTTGATTTGTCACAAAACCACAAATCATAATAAACTGTCAGCAGTTTAGACGGTACGATACATTAAAGAGATGTTTTGAAAAAGAAGGAGAAAGGAGAAGAAAAAAGAAACAAAATTTCGGGATAATCTTTCAAGTTTTTCAAGCTATAACTGTCTTCTAGCAAAACAATAACTTGAAATAAACGTTAAATTACCGTTTTTCTGTTTTGCTGCTTATTCAACAAACATTAAAATTGAGCTTTCTAAAATAACTTTAAAGCTCCTTTCAGTGGTACACCGAAGAAAAAACTTGGTCGCTGTCAAGACTTTTTGAAGTGCTATTACTGTTTTATACGATGAAAAAATAAACGAAATTTCCATTTCAAGAATAGCAGCATAAACAAGAAATTCACGTTTGAGATTAACAGCAAAAAAAGTCGTATTCTTCCTTTTCTTTCTTTTTTATTTTTATTTTTGTTTCTTGATTATTTCAGCCTTCAATCGATGACATAGGTCAACAAAAGTTCTGTTCGATGACATTTCTCATATACAGAAAATACTAGTTATAAGAATTTTATTAAATGTGTGAATAACCGTACAAATGTACAGTTACGTAGAAAAGTGAAAACACGAGGTTCCTTGA